ACTTTGGATCCTTTGTCTCCCTCTCTCTCTGCCCCTCCCCCACTCATGCTGTCTTCCTGTCAAAAATAAACAAACGTTAAAAAAATTTAAGTCGCATGCTCTACTGACTGAGCCAACCAGGTGCCCCTCTATGCATTAACGATTTGCTACGTGTCTGCCATTGAGCTAGACATTTCACATGCACACAAACACACCTATCTTGCAAGATATGTATTATCTTCAGAATATAGATTAAAAAAAAAAAAAAGTTGTGACTGCCCAGAGTCCCTCAGAGTCCCTCAACTTTAAAAATATATATACTTTCTAAAACTACAGTTCTGGGGCACCTGGGTGGCTCCATCGGTTTGGGCGTCTGACTCTTAATTTTGGCTCAGGTCATGATCCCATGGTTGTGGGATCAAGCCCTGCGTCAAGCTCTGCGCTGAGCGTGGAGCGTACTTGAGATTCTTTCTCTCTCTCCCTCTGCCCCTTCCCACACTCCTGCTCTCTGATTAAAAAAAATAATAAAACTACAGTTCCTACATTGTTATCGGTGTTCTTTCCTGTGTAATTCGTCCTTGAATCAGAATATGATCTTGCTCACTTAACTTTGGGCATATAGTTAAGAAACGGGTGACATAACTTCAGCCTTTTTTGCAAACTCAAAGTCAGGTTTGCTCCAGAACCAATTCAGGAGGCATCTCCACAAAGTTGCTGGCCAGCAATACTTGAACAAGGAGAGTCAAAGGTAACCTCGCTTGTGAAGACTGGGTGGGGTCTTCAGCTCTAGGATGCTGGATAGCTTCTATCTTTCCTTCTAGACTACTACTCCCTCTATATCTTTTTCTCTATCCTGGGAGGCTATCCTGCATGCATTTCATCAGTGGGCTCCCTGCACTTTGGATTCCACTTGGATTCCTGCTCTGGCAGGAGATCAGAGGGAGAGAAAAAACTTGGATCGGTATATGGATTGCCCAGGTTCCATTCATTGGGGTCCCCTGGGCCTAGCTGTACCCTTTGGTTAAAGGTCATCGCTCCTCTCAATGCAGTCTCTCCTGCCAGTTCCAAATAACCACTATCTCCCTTTATCCTTTCAGGCCCAAGGCTGTTACTACCCTCAGTTACTGACCTATCCCTTGCCCTCACTTTAAAATCAGTCCTTTGTTATTTTGAGTATGTTGTCTTATTTCCTGTTGGGACCTTAATATATGTGGTAAAGGTAGGCAACCTTGGATTCATAGGCTTCATATTTTATCCGTGAACTTCAACCTAACTCATGGATATAACCTTAAATTCTTATGAGTTAACCGTTCTGAAGGGTCTGCTGGATTAAGTAGCAGAAAGTGACTCATACCTGTATGGTTCCCAAGTGTGGGGTAGTGCCATCAAGGAGATACAAATCTGAGAGACAATAATAGCTCAGGCCCCTGTGACTTAGTTCCCAAAGTACCCAAGATGTTGAACAGCTTTTCAAGCTTTGTGACTATAGAACCTTCTGTGTTTCAGATCCCCAAAGTCTTACACAAGCTGATGCACTCTGCCCACTGGGGCCCTGGTTTCTCCATAACCTCCCAGGATGCCTCTGAGAAATCAGCGTAGAAATCCCTCAGGGGGACAACTGTATCCTCTTGCTGGCACATACTGGTTTTTTTCTAAAGACAAAGTTTGAACTAGTATCCTAATTTTGTTTTTTTTTTTAATGCTAATTTTTTAGTGTTTATTTAGTTTTGAGAGGGAGGGAGAAAGAATATGAGTGGGGGAGGGGCAGAGAGACAGGAAGACAGAGGATCCCAAGCGGCTCCTCACTGACAGCAGAGAGCCCCACTGGGGGCTCAAAGTCATGAACTGAACCATGAGATCATGGCCTGAGCCGAAGTGGGACACTTAACTGACTGGGCCACCCAGGTGCCCCCCTAATTTTATTTTTTAAAGTCTGTTTATGTATGTATGTATGTATGTATGTATGTATGTATGTATGTATGTATGTATTTTTGAGAGAGAGAATCCCAAACAGGCTCTACACTGCCAGTAGAACCTGATCCAGGGCTCGAACCCATGAACAGAGAGATCATGACCCGAGTCAGATGCTCAGGGCACCTGGGTGGCTCAGTTGGTTAAGCGTCCAACTTCGGCTCAGGTCATGGTCTCATGGCTTGTGAGTTCAGGCGCTGTGATGGATTCTGTGCTGACAGCTCAGAGCCTGAAGCCTGCTTTGGATTCTGTTTCCATGTCTTTGCCCCTCCCCTGCTCACACACTGTCTCTCTCAAATATAAACTTTAAAAAAACTTATAAAAAAAAAAAAAAGTCAGATGCTCAACAGACTGAGCCACCCAGGCATCCCAAACGAATATCTTAGTTAAAAAAAAAAAAAAGTGTATCAACATTATGTTTAAGTATCCTTAAATTAAGAGGTCATGTTTATCCCTCTGTTGTCAGTGTCAATAAGTTGTTTGAATTCATTCCCTTAGTTTATTCACTACTCTTTGCCAGGGTGAGGTATTTCATGAGTATTAACGAATTGCATACTTGATAGTAATCTATTTGGGGCTTTTCCCACAAAGCACTTAATTTAAACCTATGTATTTATATGGTGCTTTATTATAACCTCCCTGTTGCCATACATCCTTTACAAAAGAAATTGAGGCTCAGAGAGGTTAATCGAATTGCCAAAGTCACACACAAAACTATTAAAGTGGCAGAGTCCAAGACTTTCGTTCTCAGTGCAACATAGTTGCTTTTGCTAGCCCTGAGAAGGTTCTGAGGATCCAGTTTAGTCCACTCTTTAGGCTAGAGAAGCCGTCATACTTTGTAAATGTTAATAAATGAACACCCTTCATGATTAAAATGAAACAAGGACTTTAACCTGTAAATTGCTGCTGCCTGCACAGAGTCACAGGATTAACTTCTCTTGCACCTCTCTTTTGAGTCTATATTTAAACTTGAGGAACATTTACCCCTTTCTTGTGACCACCTTCAGAGCAAGCACTGAAGTATTTTGAGCCTTGTCCCTCAGAACAGAAGGCTGAGAAAGGATGCAGCCCTAACATTTTTCTTTGTCCTGGCTTTAACACCTTGGTTTGAAGAGGATAGTGAAGTCGTGTTTGGAAAGATTCTCCGCTCCTCCCTTGCTCTCCTTCACCATCTAGGAAACTAGCAACGGTTTTCAAACATCTTGGTTTATGTAAGGCATCCAAAGAGGGTTAAACTAAGACCTAAAGGACCTCTCCAACCTGGGAGAACAAGCTCCAAGCAGAGGGTAGACTGCAGAGAGCAAATATGGCAGAACAAGGTGTGAGGAAAGTTCAGAGGGTAATTTTCAAAAAACATTGAGGGTAAAATCTATTAAGACTGTGAGGATATAAAGGGAAACCGATTGCTTAGAAGATCGCAAAGTTAGGACGCCTAAGCATGAGTTTGGAAGAATCACCATCTCAAAAGGTACCGTGTTTTCTCCTTTGAAAGTATTTTTACATACATCATCATTACTTGAGCCTCTCAAACAACCCCATTTTTCAGATGAGGAAACTGAGGTTTGGGGCAAAGTTGTGACTTGTCAGGATTACAGGTAGTCAAGGGAGGAGCAAGAAACAATCTCCGGTCTTCACCAAATTGTTCTCAGCGGTTTCCCATCAAAGGCCCTTCCGCGGCAAACAGGGCAATGGACTGCCAAGGCTTCCTTAGCGGCAGGGCCCGGGCCGGCCTCCAGGCGGCGCCAGGGGGACGGCGGCCTAGGGCTCCAACTGGGCGGATACTCGGGCCACGAGCCGGCAAAACCCCGGACTTGTAAATCCGCAAAAGCGGCCACCGCCCCCGAGAGGCTTTAAGAGCCCTTAGACTCGAGGTAGTGGGCGGGACAGACGGTCCTGTCAGCCCCTCCCATTGGCCCGCGGGGTAACAGACAGGTATCTTCAGCCAGCCCCAGCTAGATGAACGACCGAACGGGCACCCGCTCCTGAACCTCGTCAGCACACGGTGTGCAGCCGGGGACTCCTCCGCGAGAGGAGGCTACGCATGCGTGCAAGGGAACAGACGCTCTGGATACTCCCTCCAGCTCTGCGAAGGGAAACTGCTCCTTAGGGAACTGCCAAGGGTAGCCCCTGCCTCCGACAGCGCGGACTCCTTTGCTCTTCTGTGCAACCTCCCGGTCATGCGACCCAGACTCCGAATTCTTTAGGACAAGATTTCCTGTTGTGAAACGTAAATCACTTGCGCTGCAGCTTCATTTTATTTCTCAAAAAGTACCCTCCCCCACCCCATGGAACAAGCTAGGAAAACGTCCTCGATCCAGGAACGTCCTCCGGTGCACTCCCCACCCCACCTAAGCTTGGCCGTGGGTCTCCTGGGCCCCGGCTCATCGCCACACACCATTTCTTTGCTTGCCTCCTTCAGGAAACCTTTCCTGATTAACCCCGGTGGGACCGCAGCCATCCCAATTACTCGGGAGAGTGCGAGGCCAAGATAAAGGCAGAGATTCGGGGGCAGAGGCGCCTAGCGAGCGGACCGGTTCCCGCCCCGCCCCCTCCGCTAGGAAAGTCAGGCACGACTCGGGGACAAAAAGCTGTATTGGGAAGCGGAGGCTCCTACACAGTAGGAGGAGGCACGTCCCGGGAGGCCCGAGGACTCCGTACACAGCGCGCGCGCGGCCCCAGCCCCGTCGGTCCGTCCATCCGTCCTGCGGCCCGCCCGCGGCACAGTCTATGGAGGAAGTCCGAAGGGGCGAGTTAAGGCAGCTTGGCTGAGGGAGGGGGAAGTAGGAGTGCGCCAGTTCCCCGCGAAAAGCTGGCTCACTGAGGGGGCGAGCTTCTCACCTCCCACTCCTCTCTCGAGGACAGGGGGAAAGACAGTCAATAAATAAACCCGAGGCGGGCTGAGACCCCAGGAGACTCTCAGAGTCCAGAAAGGCTGGAGGTGTGGAACGCGGAGAGAGGGAGGGGTTCTGTCCTTGGAGACGCGTCCATGCTCTTGGCCTTGGAAGGCGCGGGCCTCAGGGGCCCAACTGGAGGACGCAGCGCAGCTCCCTTTAAAAGTGAAAATGGCTGCCGTTGGGGATGGCCGGCGGGGGGGAGGGCGCGACGAGGGGCGGCTTCGGGGGCAGCTGCGGCTTCTCGACGTCCACCCTCTTTAGGGCGCGGCCCCGATAGCCCTCCGGCCGGCCCAGGTACAGAAGATGTCTCCCGGGCCCCCCACAGTACCTGGAGGGGCCCCCCGAGGGGACCCGAGTGAGCAGGGCCGGGGGGGCACGATGCGTGGGGAAGGGCGTTCTGCGGCCGCCCCCGACCCCTAGCCGGGGAGCGGGGGCGGAGAGGGCGGGCCGCGTGGAGGGGGCCGCGCACTTGCCCTCGGGGGGCACGTCCAGCCTCAACGGCGGGCCACACTCCCGGGGCAGGAGGCTGGGGCCCGCG